ATATTAAATACTCTACCATCAAAGGGAAGCTTCTTATGAAATTCAAGACTTCAACAAATTCATCGCTGAAATAATCTATGCCGCACTATCCATTATTATTAGTGCAATTTTGTTATCAATACCCTATTTTTTAAAGCAAGTATATAATATATCATATGTATTTTTTAAAATATGAGCCGAGAGCACATCAACAAAGTTAAGCACTCTTTTCTATATCCTATAATCATCATCAATAAATAATATATCCGAATAATGTAATGTATATCTTAGGCAAATTCTTATAAATCAGTTATTAAAAAATGTTTAAATCACTTTTTTTAATCTCATAATGTGGCATACAATCAATTTTCAATACAAATTATATCTTTCTAGAATGTCAGCTAGTAGTTTTTATGATAAAATTAAATATTTGTTATTCTACAATTTAAATAGCAACTCGTGACTATATACTATGAGAAATCAACTCACTCATTCTAGCATAATTATAGTTCTAATTAGCAACATTACAAGTATTTTTTGAATCAAACTTATTTGTTAGTAATGGTGATTGAACATTAATATTAATTTCTCCCTCAAATTAGCATCCTCTCCCCACAACGAAAAAGATATCATTTACATTGTGTTTACATTCCTTTGTTTTCGTGAGTTTTTACTTGCAAGCACTTTTGAAGTAACGTCAATAACTTTAACTATACAAATTTATTCCACGTCAACACTCATTTTTCTTCTTGCTTTCTTTATATAAAGGTCTTCAAATTGATCATCAACAATTAGGTTTAAAATTCCTATAATCTCACTTATTATTATTAGGCTTCATGATCCTCCAACACTGAATCCTCATGATAGGTGGTAGCAGAATACGGTGGCAGTCAGTGGTAGGAGATGGGTGTCGGCAGCCGACAGCGGCTGGCGATCGGGTGCCGCCAGCCGACAGCGGCGGGCGATCGAAAGTGGTCAGCGGCAGGCGTTGATCGACTGGCGACACTTTACATTAAGCTGTGTATTTGGAATTCACCCAAATTCATCAAATTCCAAAAACACGTAAAATGAATTAAGGTTTTAATTACAAATACACCGTTATTTTACATTGTATTTGAAATTCTTTTTACAAACCATCCAAACTCCTAAAATGCCTGCAAAAAAGATGCAATTCATCCTTTTGCAGCCGACCAAATATCCTCTAAGTGAAAATAAAAAATGAGGCCTAAAGTTAAAATGAGGAAGTTTCGATTTGAACCTCTAATTTTAATTCTTTTTTGTGAATTTAAATTATCATAGTGGAAATTTTAATAAAAATTAATTAAATAATTAAATTAATTATATCATTAATGATTATGATTAAGCATTATTAATTAATTATCTGAAACAAAAATTAATGATATAAATTTAATTAAATATAAATGAGCTTTAATCGAGCATTTTGAGTTTGTTCGTGAGTTTTAAGTGTGCTATTCAAGATCATAAATGAATCGAACAAATGTTTATTCAAATTTATTCATTTAACAGTTGAGTAATATAAAAAGTGCTCAAACTTATTCAATTTGTTAATTCAATAAATATAAACATACTTTTATCTAACTGAGCCACAAGTAGTTGGTCAAATACTTAGTTCATTTTTAGATTCAAAAGTTTTTGTATTAAAATTAATCAAAAAATATGTTTTGTTAAAACAAGTAGTAAATCCAATCTTCAATTTTTCGACTTTGTTATTCTTTGAATGCATTGTTCATCATGTGTTATTCAACGTTCTTTAATCAAAACAACATAACATTATAGAAGTATAACATGTTGATTATGAATCCAATCTTCTCACAATCAACATGATGCATTTTGATGTGATAATAGCTTAGAAAGGTGTAGAAATAAAGTTCATAACAGAAAAATTAATAGTCAAGTCAACCAGAGCGTCTATTTGAGAGAGATTGGGCTTATGTCTTTGAGATAAGCTTGATTTATGTACACAACTTCTTGTTGAATTTTTGCACCATGATAACATTGAAGATCCCAACATATATATTAAACTTCTCATATGAATCATCCGCTAACATCTCCCGAACGTCACAACAAAAAGCCTCAACTAGAGTCATACAACTTCGGAAATCTTCTGTTTAATTAGGCTGGCCTATTTGTAGTTATTCAGGTGATGAAAAGAAACATTGATGTCAGCACATGGCATTTCATATGCATATGAAATGAATGCATCAAAGTTAGAGTGGAGGTAGTCGATGACTCAATCTTGATGCTTTGCATCAAATGAGTCACTAAGACAAAAGGTGCACATCTGGTAGTTTGAGATGATGACTTCAACCATAGTCTCAAAAAATTAAGCGATAAATTAATGGTAAAACTCATCAACAATTCCACATATCTACAAAATTTCTTCTTTGACAAGTAACTTTTTATGACCAAATTTTATATGACAAACTCTATGCTTTTGAAATTTATCAAGTTATCTAGTTGACTAAGGAAATTTTGACTTGATGCATTAAATAAACTAGCAACTTTAATAGGATAAGTTGTTGAAGTGTTTGGTGAATTACTGGGTTCAAATCTCAAGGAAGTGAGTTCCCAAATCCAATTTTTATAAATATAAAACTTTCTTCAAAATACTTGAGGCAATTTCTTCTTTCCTCATCACATTGCAAGTTCGCAAGATCATAATTTTCCCTAATCATAATTTTCCCTACAACAAAGAAGCAATAAAAATGAAACTATTATAGAGCTCTTTAAATTTAATTTCTCTAAAAAATACAAAGTTGTTGGGACACTTCCCTATAAGATCAAAATTGATCAGCCTCAAACATTTAACTTGTTTAAGAAAAATCTATGGAATTTTTCTTTTCTCCTAAAATACAAGTGTTGGAACTAGTTCATTTCTTTCTTCCACACGGGCTTCTTGTTGGGACATCATCTAGGATTGAAGAGGAATCTTTTGAGTGCCAGATTTCATAAGTGGGAATAATCTTCATTATTGTGAAAATGATCTTCATAGGAGAAAATATTTTGATGACTCATAAGGATACAATAGCACACACATTAAAGATTGTCAGCTAAAATACTCATTATCATGGATTGCACTACAATTTCAACAAGTGGCACATAGAAAAAAGAAAAGACAGATTCTTGAAGTATGAAAGCGACTTCTCCTTTATCAACTGGTCATAAGTTGGCATGCTCCTTTCCAATATATTATTTCAAAAGACTTAGTTGACTTCATTGTTGATGTTCATACTAATTTTGATGATGAGTTGACTTCCCAGACAACTTGTAGTTTTCATTGGCTTGATCTGCTGGATGGAAGAATGTCATTAACTATCAAGTAGGAGTTCAGAAATGCATAGTCTGGATGTTAAACTCGGGATATCATAGTCTTGTTCTTCAATGTTGGCATGAATATTAGCAAGTTCAGTACTTCAATCAACCTATAGATGCACCAAGTTGAGCAAATATCTGAACGGTCATTCTCAGTGACCCTGAGTGACTATTAAATAAGCTTTAACAACCTCCATTTCTCATCAAGCATCCCTTTCTAGAAGCAACAAATGAATCGGTGAAGGGCCTCTCCATATCCTTTTGTCATGTTATGGAGATTGAGGATTCTTTGGCAATTTTTGTGCACTGGAAAATTGGGTGATAAATTATTGTTTCAAGTTTGATAAATTGGTGATGTATCCAGAGGAAGGTGATAGAGCCGTGTCGTACTGATGTATCTTTGAAAGTGATGAACATCAATCTAAATTTAATCACATTGCTGACTGTGTACAGTGGAGCAGTTGATTAGAAAGTAGTCAACCTGGTCGACCAAATTTAATTTCCATCTTTAAGAATCTAGTGGTGGCATTTTAAACTTCAGTGGAGGTTTTTCTTCCATAATTTCTGCTAAGGTGTTGATAAGCTACATCTTGGTGTTTCATCGATCTGCAATGGAGAAGAAACTCTACAATATTTTCTTATGGAAGGGACGTACCACCCTCAGTGGGTGATAGTCCAACGATTCCATGATTGCCACAACATTAGTGGGCCAGATAGCCAACTAAATCCCTCTCTTGGGGAAAGTGAATAAATGGAGCATCTTATGAAAGGTGTTTTGTGATTTTATGAATCATTTTTTGTCAAATGATATTCCATCTATATCAGTATCCAAAATGTGTCCATTTTTTCATGGATCTTTCCCTGGCCTAGTCCATGAACTTAGATATATCCATGCACACTACACCTTTAGAATGTTGGATCCAAATTTATCCTAGGAAAATACAAAGGCCTTACTTGAGGAACATTTGAGCCCAAAAGAGAAAGAGAGAGAAAAGATAGAATTGAAGAATCAGAAGGCGTATCTTAATTAGATTTTAATAGGGCAGGCACAATTCGGGGCACAAAACTACAATGTTCACTCATGCCTATGCACAACTAGTAAACCTTTATCTATAGACGCGGATCAAAGGTTTGTAATACATAATTAACTAATAAAAAAAATAAACTTAGTGAGCTTTATTTAGTTTGTTGTTTGGCAACTATCAAATGAATTTGAATTTCAGGCAAGTTTTGGTTTGAGGGTAAGAACACTGCAAGTGCTATGTTCTTTGAACTTGAAACAAGCGGACATCATTGATGGTGAGTTCAATAGCTGGAATTATGGGCCAAATTAGAGTTATCGCTTGGTCAATTAGAAAATATCTTATTAAGGTGATTCTGTGGCCATGATTCCTTATGAGAAACTTGATGACCTTTAACTCTTATGGAAGTAGAGGCTTGGAGAAATTACCGAGAACTGGTGGGCCGATAGTGATGACTTGATCAATCTGAACTAAGCAAACATGGTTGTACAAGCTTCATTGATCCTTATATGCATTCATTCTAGCACAACATTATATAAGATGTTGATTTTTATCAGCACACTCGTGTAACAATACATTAGTGACTCAATGGGAAAAAAAAATGTATTGGTTTGAGTGAACAGAAATGCATGATGAAGATAAAACTGAATTTAAGGGGAAAAAAACACTCGAGCTCTTTAGCACGCTCTTCCCACACATCTTCCGACCTCTCCTCATCGCGATGAGCAACTGGAAGCACACAAATCAAATGCCTCCGCAGCTGATCCCTACAGTGTTCCTCAACCCTGCACCGCGGAATCCCCGATTCGCAACCAACCTGATAAAATGGACAGTTCACCAACTTCATCTTACACGCCGTGACACAATGCCGATCCATCTCCCTTCTCAACACCATCTCCCCGCACTTCTGATCGCATTCCAACACCTTATAAGCACAAATCTCGTCATGCTCCTTCTCACGCGCCGAGCAGAACTTCACCTTACACCCCTCATTCCCACACCCCACCGTCCGAAACCCACATTTCTCTCTATGAGCTTCCAGCTCCCGCTCGTCCTCGAATCTCATCGAGCAATGCGCCTCGTTCTTATAATCAATGTTTCGAAGCAGCACCTCGGAGATCGCTTCGCGTCGATCGATCGTCCAGAAGCGATTGGTATCCATCTCATGGACGAGGTCATCGATCCTGTCATCGCGAGCATCGCTGAGGATCCATCCGGAGACACGGCTGAAAATATTGCGTTTGGAGGCCGTGAAATCTTCAATTAGTGCGGCAATAATGTCGACGGGTTTGGAGAGGCCGGCGTTGGGGTCGGAAGGTGAATTGCGGGAGAGGAGGAGATCGGAAATGTAGGTTTCCGTGCGTTGTATGAGGTGGTCGACCATCTCTTTGCGGAGATCGACGGCGACGATGGAGGGAGTGCGGAAGATATCGCCGGTGGTGGAGTCGACGCAGGCGGTGGCGAGGCCGGGGAGGAGGAGTTGGGCGATCTTGTGGACGAGCTCGGCGTCGCAATGGGAGCAGGGTGAAGAGGAAGCACCAGAGTCTGTAGTCAGCTGGGGATCGGAAACCGGGATATCCATTAGTAGGGCGGGAGACTCTCCAGAGCTACACGATCAGGAGAAAGAAGGCAATATTCTGATACAGTTAGGTCGTTTCGGAAAAGCAGGTCTAAAGCTGTTAAAAGAAAAAAACAGATGTTAAAAAAACCCAAATAATTAGACTTTTTATCACAATTAACCAGATAATTGCAATTTAGTTCCCATTAATTTATGAATTCTAACTTTTTCTACATAATTGATAAATTGAATTTTTTATTTTTTACTTTCAGTTATTAAATATTTTTTAAGGGCTAAAATTGTTATTTTTTATTGAAATGAGTGCAATTAAAGAAAATAAATAAAATCAAAAGTCATATAAGAAAATAATTAAAATATGATGAATTTGCTTCATAATTGTAGTAATAATTAAAGAGCATCACTATCCCCAATCTTGGCTATATACTATAATTCACTTAATTTAGTATTTAATTGACTAATTTTTATGGTAATAAAGTAATAATTGAAGAGTATAATATTTTTTATAGAAATAATATTTATTTATATTTAAAGTTGACCAATGATCATATGAGGTCCGCTAATTATGGAAACAAGGAGTTCCGACCATGACACGATCAATAAATCTTCTTCATTTCAAAATATAAACTTTTGCCTTTGAAAATTAGGAAGGTTGCCAAAGAGTTTAACCGTTTGGGGCAACTTATTTGGTGTTGTGGCGTTTTAAAAACGCACCTCACATGTTTGGTTAAACTGTATTTTGGCATCTTTTGCCTTTGAAAATTAGGAAGGTTGCCAAAGAGGTGATTAGAGAAAAAGAGATGAAGGGTCTGTTTGGGGCAGCTTATTTGGTGTTGTGGCGTTTTAAAAACGCACCTGACCTGTTTGGTTAAACTGCATTTTGGCAGCTTATGTGTTTTAAAAACGCTGAAAACAGTGTTTTCACACCGTACTTATCTAGGTGCGGTGGCAGTGGTCTGGCTTTTCAAAAAAAATAAAAATTTATAATAGTCACTACACTTAGCTTATCAGAAGATTATTTTTAATCTATTTATCAACAAATTATTCAATAAGCTGCAGTTACCCCCAAACAAACCCAAGCCTCCCTTTAAGAAAGAAATTAATTTGTTCTTATCTATTTATTTGAGAGTAAAGTTTGAAGATTTTGAAGTTGTCTTGAGATTGACATGGGTTGGCGTTTAGAAATTTATTAATAACTAACGTGTGCTAGAAAATTCACAGCGGCAAAGTAATGGATCATCGTCTTAGTATTGCATGAGATTTCAACCACACAGTTTTAAAAAATAACAAGTAGTGTTACCTGAAGTTTTTACGTGGCAAATCTGTAAAGAAAAAAATAATATGAGGTTTGACCCATTTGTAAAAATCCACTATAAGTTGATGATTACAGAGACCCATTGTCCCGCAGACAGGAAAATATTATAAAGTCTTTTGAATTAAAACGTCGACGTGCGGATGAACTTGTTGTAAGAAATGGGCAACAGTGGAGGTCGGCATGAGGTGGTCGACACGTGCGGATGAACTTGTTGTAAGAAATGGGCAACAACCAATAGTGATTGGTGGAGGTCGGCATGAGGTGGTCGACGACGAACGACAATGGTCAACAGTGATCGATGATTATCGATGACGGTCAGCAGTGATGAATGACAATTAACGGCGATCGACGGTGTCAGGAGTAGTGTCGGACTTTAGGTCATTCCCAAAACTTCATGTTCTTTCTTAAGCCTAAAGCTCTCCATCATGAGAGGTGTGCGTCTCTGTTTATAGTGTTATGAGTGCAATTAATGCAAGAATATGAATTATTATGATTAGACGGCTTGGAGAGCATCTTCTGTTCAAACAATGTTTTATGGACATTTGAGTGTCTTAATGATGTTAGAATTGAGCAATCTTGCTCTTGTTGGATTCATTTTATCGAGATGCTCGATCTGAATATCGTCGTGCTAGATTCACAATTGTTTGATCTTTTAAATATGTCTTTGAAAATTTCAAATAGTGGTTTAATGGCTCAACTTGATTTGAGCTTGATTTGACTTGGAATGAACTAATTTTGATATAACTGGGTCCGTCTCATCTATCCGGTCAGTTTGACTATAAGTTTGCTGAAATCAGAACTCTTGATGACTTTTTATCAAGATTTAAATATTTATTGCTCAAAAGATTGTCTCGAGATCCATGTCACCTCCCAAAATTTATGTCAAATAAAAATAATTTTTTGGCTGAAATTAAATTTCTCAATCCAGTGCAATTTTAAGAAATAAATAAAATTAAACCCATCTTAAAATTTAATAACCTCACTCCATAATTGCAGTCTTAATTAGCGAGCATCACTATCTCCAATCCTAACTACATGATATAATTCACTTGATTTAGTATCAAATTGACTAATACTGTTATGCAGATAAATTTATAATGGAATAACATTATTGTTTATTTATAGAAATAAATTTTATTTCTATCTAAAGCTGGCCGCTGCATTAAAAACCGTACAAATCTAATGGCCGTTAGATTATTACGAGTTCGCATAAAAGGCTGAGAAAGTTCCTCTAAAATAATGGAAGGAAATTGCAGGGCGCTATAAAAGTCACCCTCGTCTCCCTCCCTTGGCACGACTTTGGTCGGCAGGGATCCGCCAGCCAGCAGCACCGCCGCCTAGGCTCCGGCGAGGTGCAGCGCCGGGAGTATCCTCTGTGCTTTCACTCGCCAGTAGGATCTCCGGCGAACTTCCGGTGAGGGGGTAAGCTTCGTTTGCTTGCCTTGTACTTGATATCTGCGGTAGGATTTATCGATCAGTTGAGTGGTGTAAGGTTGGCTTATTAATTGTTGTATTTATTTATTTTTAATGTGGAATTAGATTGGGGGGATGTGTTAGTTCTGAGAGTAGTAATTTTCATTGCTGGATTGAATGAGGCTTGTTTTATGATCGTTTGTTGATGATGTTTCTGTAAGTGAAACGTTGATTGTTAGGATTTTAAGTGAGGGGGACGAGGAAAAGTAGGCGGGGTTTAGTATCTGAACAATGCTGTGTGGAGTTTAGGTTACGTGGTTGTTAATTTCTGTTTGATTCGATTATTTTACAATGGATGGTGACTAATGATTTGAAGTGTAGATGTGAGAGAGAGGATAAATATAATATTTTCCAAGTGTTTTTTTTTAATTTGAAATTTATGATTGAGAGTTTGTGTCTGTTGGCATCTCTGTTAGCAGTAAATTTCACTGCTAAATTGGGTTAGGGCTGTTTTTTTTATTGTTTGATTCTTATGTTTTTACAAACAAATGTGAATTGCTAGAAATCTGAATGAGATGGGCGAGATTGTTGGCAGAACATGATTTTGATTGTTTGCTACCAATTTTTAAAGTTTAGATTTTTCCCTTCAAGATTGTTTCATCATGAATTCTGAAAAACAAGCTACACCAATCATAAGGCAACTTCGGAATTTTTAAACTGTACACTATACTTAATAGAAGGAACTATTTAAGGCGGTCTCAAATTTTGAAGGCCTTTGTTTGGCCGCCTTCCAAATTTTCAAAGGCAAATGTTTATACTTTGAGATGAAGAAGATTTGTTGGTTGTGTCATGACCTTGGAACTCCTTGATGCCATAAATAGTGGACTTTTTATAATCATTTGAAAACTATAAAAGAGATATAGGAGGTTGTGATACATGACCTATATGTTTTTGTCAACTATAAAGAAGTTTGGGTGGCTATAAGAAAGATTTACTCAAATTCAAAGATGTTGCACTCATATACGAAGTCACGATAAACTTATAACAAACAAACAAAATAATCCTCTTATCACTGAATACTTAATATGATTAAGAGCCTTTGGTTGACATTAGAATTTTATCAAGATTTAAAATGCTATGTATTTTTTAATTCCTTTCATGTCTTAATATTGTTCTTTATTCAGAAAAAAATTCAAATATTTGGAAGAGAAGCCTTACGCTCCTTTAATGAAGCCTTCTCTCTCGTAAAAGCTGAGTAGAGTAGGAGAACAATCAGGGTAGAATCCCCAAGCACAAAAGAATCGGCCATGGTTACAAAAAGAAAAATTCAAGTAGAAAGACTAATTGAAATTGAAGCGACCAAAGATGACGGACAAATATCTCATTAGGAAGATAGTTTTTGTTTTTACTACAAGATGGGGCATGCTAAAGAAACTTGCTGGAAACTTCATAAAAACTTCAAAGGATGCGGTGAAAACAAAAACAGTCAATTCGAGGGCTTTGCTCACTTTATACAAATAGGTATCAACTTTAATGGGATTACGAAGCTAACAAATTTTCTCTATGCAGATCATTTGCTTAAAATAATTAAACCTTTAACTCGTGTTTTAAGTACCTCAAATGAACCTTATTTATAACAGTAAAAATGTTGGAAACTTCATAAAAAATCCCAAGGACATGGTAGATCCAAGAGTAGTCAATCAAAAGACTTGGCTCACTTTATAGAAATTGAAGTTTTCAACTTGAAAGTGACTAACAAGCTGATGAATTCCTTCTTTACACTTCAAAATATTTTTAGATTATTTGTTAAAATGGTAGAATCTTCAACTCTTGTGTTGTTAGTGCTTCATATAAACCTTACTTGAATGTCTAGGTCATAGACTCTAGAGCCATTGACCATTTGTCCTCCGCTCACTCCTACTTACAAGTAGCCCCTAGCCATAAAAAAATAAAAGTTTCAAATGATTCTTTGACAATAACTGCAGGGCAATGAACAATAACAAATATGCCTTTCTTTACCTTTGAAAATGTCATGATCTTGCTGTAAACTTATTGACTATCTCTATAAAATCATTGAGCACCAAAATTATTGTGTAATGCTCTTTTTTTACCATTTTATTTTCTTAGGACTAAGATACGGGAGAGATGGTTAGGAAAGCTAGGAAAAGGATGTGTTGTACTTGCTTAAAGACTAAGGGTGCGCTTGGGGCGGAGGTGTGGTGGCGTTGTGGGGCCACACCACAAGTTTTCATGTTGGGCAAAACTGAGTTTTGCTGTGTTCTCAAAAAACTGCAGCGAAAAACTATGTTTTTTTATCTGGCCAGGCTACCCACAGTGGCTGCTAGAAAGCTGCGATCTCACAATTTGAAATAAAAAAATTGTAATAACCACTACAACTTTTTGAACAACAATTTATTCTTTAGTTGCTTCTTCAAACAACCGCAACTGTCTCAAAGAAAATTTTATAAAAGAAAATTTTGAGAGTAGATTTTTTTCCATTAATTTAACTTTACTTTTTTGAAAATTATTTACATAATTATATTATAATAATTCATTTGTAATCAAAATTGCTTTCAATCTAGTTTAACATGATCAGAAAAAAATTGTAGAAATGTACATAGATTTTATGAAAAAAAAAGTATAGGTGGATTAGTTTTCACTACTTATGTCCCAACAAGTGATCAACTTGCTCGCATTTTTACCAAAGAACTATTTCCTAATTTTAAGAACATTGTAAACAATATGGGAATGATAGATCCCTATCATATAGCTTGAAAGGGAGTGTGGGAGAATGTGTATGAAAATTCTAGGCAGCAGGATCCAGAAGAATGCATTTCAAGCAAATGTAACTATAGCCTTGTCAGAAGTTCAAGGGGTTGAAACAAAAATGATAAATGATTTAGGCTATAGAGTTAAATATTTTCCAACTTTTTTTAAAAGGTCCTTGTTATTTTTTTCCTTGATTTTTGTGATACTCACATCCATTTTATATAACATTGAAGTCTTCATCATCATCGTCATCATCATAATTATCATTATCAGTCAATTCTCAGCTAATTGATGCCGGCTTACCAATTACTTATTATCCTTGCAAATTTAATTTCTATTTTTCTGCTAGAGTTGCTGTGCTGATATTTATGTTACTTTGAAGATGTCATCTCACATCTTATGCAAGACAGTGCTACTTATGCATTTTTGTTACTTACAGATTGTTAAAATGATGTTTTTTTTTTCCCATCTCAATCCACTATTTTTTCCACTTTTGCAGGTCTATCAAAGCTGTTATAACTTTTTGTTAATGGACCAAAGTTTTTCTACTATTGAATCACCACGGCGGAAGCCAGGCCTTTTAAGAGATCAAGTTCAGCTAGTGAAAAGAAAAGACTCTCATAGATATGAAATTGCTCCAATTCAAGATGCACTATCTTTTGAGAAGGGTTTCTTTGTAGTCATCCGTGCTTGCCAGTTGTTGGCCCAAAAGAATGAGGGGATTATCATGGTTGGTGTTGCTGGTCCTTCGGGGGCTGGAAAGACTGTATTCACTGAGAAAATTCTGAATTTCATGCCAAGTATTGCTTTGATATCCATGGATAACTACAATGACTCAAGTCGAATAATTGATGGAAACTTTGACGGTGAGATTTTGATTCTCAAAGATATATATGGAATATTCTTAATTTATTCCTTTTATATGCAATTTTTATGACCCATCCTTCTTACTATCACATTTAAGTTGAGATCTTTGCACATATCTGTTTAGGGAGATTTACATACATACTACATAATTCTTATTTACTTACATATCTAATACCCAAAGTTTGATATTTTCACTTATAACACAATGTTGTCATAAATCTATGCATGAAAAAAATGTGGTCATAAATCTATGCATGAAAATGTGTATTTCACTTTTAAAAAGATAATGATGGTGATATTTTTGATGTAATGTTGCAGATTTGAGTGATATGCATGTAAATATCAGTGTTTAGGTGTTAGATATGTAAATACATAAGAATTATGTGGTATGTATGTAAATGTCCCATCTGTTTCATGTTTACTGTGGCCCTAGATGAATACTCTCTTGATTATAATTCCCAAGCCATAACTGACATCAAAAGAAGAGACTCGCTATGAGTTTAACTATAGTTTATGAGATTAGGGGAGATGATATGTACGAGTTAATACCATAAATGTTCTAGAATGAGGCAGGAAAGTTGGATGATTCAGATGAGAGCACCCATAATGGGTTTCACTATTACAAGCTTGCTACATGAATGTTCTAGAATGAAACCGGAAATTAATTATCGAAGCCTAATTAGTTTAGGGTCTGATGATATTGCACATTCTCTACAAGATTTAGGCTGCTCAACATTGGTCCTACAACTTAGTGAAAAAATCCAATGGACAATTGGAATTTTGGAAAGTTGCATGCTGCTTGAAGGTGCATAAATATCACTTTAGATGCTTTGGTTTGATATGGTCGCTGACTGTTGTGAACTTACTCACCTATCACCTTGTTTCCTAGATGTTAGTTTTCAGTCATAATATTTTTAGTTAATGGAAAATTTGGAAAGAAATTTGAAACAATTTTTTTTATGAAACTAATTCATTAGACTCTCTTAAATCCTAATACCAGAATTAACCCAAATCACAACGGAACGGGGATATTATTACTAAAGTGCAGTGATATTACAACCAAGAGTCTAGAAAGCAGGAATAAACTACACAAACACAAATGACACTCTAGGGTCAGGATGAAATCGGTGGGGCTGCGGCTAGACAATAGGTGGGGGTGGCGGGTAGGGAGGTTGCGATAGCAGGTAGAAGGTCTAGAGAGAGTTGCGGCAACAGGCAAAGTCGTTGCGTTTCTTGGTAGTAAGCAAGGAGATTGGAAGGAGGGCTTGCTGCAGTAGGTAGAGAGTCTTGAGGGAGTTGCGATAGCATGTAGGATTGTTGGGGTTTTGGGTAGTAAGCAGGAAGGCTATTCTTGCTTCATTCCAATGCCTTGGAGGCTATGACCGCAACCCACAAATTCCATCTTCCAAAGCTATGGGACATTTAACAGTCAAGCCGACTATTACAACCTTCCAGTGGTTTCACCACCCCACCTCCCCCTTCAGGATGGCTGAAATTTAACGCGGATGGGTCCCTTCTCTCCTCCCATATGGGTGGTATTAGTATTATCCTCTGCGTTGAAACGGGCATGGTTATTCTTGCCGCCAACATGCCTATTGAACATTGGGGCAACTCTTTTGTGAAACTCCATGCTATCTGTTCTATTAGAAAATTCATCGAGCCATGGTTGTATGAAGCCAAAGGAATTATCATTGAAAAAGACTAACACAACATTGTCTCCGCTCTTTTTCGTACCAACTCCGTCGAGGTATGGAGAGCCCAAACAAAGCTTGCTAAAGACTTCTCCTTTTGGTCTGCCTTTAAGCAGGTTTTGTTTCAATGCATAGATATAAAGAAAAAAATAGTTGCTCATGTTTGGGTTGCCCACAGGGCTTTACATCATGGTTGTTTTGATATCAATGTGAATTACTTCCACTTCCTATTTCCTTTTGTTGATTTTGATCGAGCCCATATGTTTGGTAGCTTTATTTAGTTCTTTGTACTTCCTTTTACCTTTGTTAATTCAAAGAAGTGAGCAGGAAGACAGGAAGGAGGGGTTGTTGCAGCAGGTAGAGGGTTTGGAGGGAGCTATGGTAGCAAGCAGGGTGGTTGGGGTTCACTACAGGAAGTAGGGAGGGTGAGAAGAAGAAGGTAAGTAAAGGAAATCACCACCTTGGAGCAGGATGTTGACGGAGCACCGCTTGTCCTCAGATACAATCTTAGCAAGGGAAAAGATGTCGACGAAGCACCACTTGTCCTCAAATACAATCTTAGCAAGGGAAAAGATGTCGACAGCAAAAAATTCTGAAAGCAAAACTGAACCCTAATGACATAAAATAACACACACACACACACACACACACACACACACACACACAGATATATATATATATATATATATATACTAGATTACTAGGATGGGGATGCCCCTCCCCTTGGGCAGCTAGCCTAACCCAGCAATAGAGCCTGCCAGCCCCGCCTTCTTGGCTAAACTTGTTCTGCTAGATCCAGTTGGTTCAGCCCCCCAAGGAGCCCCGCGCTAGTCCCCTTTTTTCTGGCGCAATATATAATTAGATTTGACGTGATTAATTTTGGTTTATGGCACTTTTTGCTATCACACTTCCCTTTGGGGATTTGATAGAATTGTTTTAATTAATTGGAAAGAGCACCCTTAAGCTTGAGAAAAATTGAAGCTTTTACATTGAATTAATTGAGTGATTTATGACCTTCTTTGAGTGGTGATTAGATGCACAACTTTAATGAGTTATAGAAGAAGAAAGCCTGGAAATTATGTGAATATAAGCAAGAAAACATCTAAAATATTTATTATTAGATTAAAAAATTCTTATGGATGTTTTTTGAACATTGAAAAAATATGACGAGACTAATTTGTTTTCTGGTTTCAGATACCTTTGTTTCGCTTTCAAACTAAAATTGGCTATTTTAGTTGATTTTAAAAAGCTTCATTAAAAATTTTGTTTGACTGTGGGTCGTCACAATCTAATTTTGATGATAACATTTTGACTTGGGTTTTTTTGAGTACACTCTTATTTTTTATAAATGAAAAATTGAAAAATTATTTATTTTGAACATGATAATTGTCACTTCCGATGCTTATTTGGCCCAACCAATATACCATATAGTGCTTTACATAAATTATTGATTTGCCTTATCCAACTATTTTTGGTCAAACCAATGGCTTTATAATTCCTTATTTTACATCCATTTTCATTGAGCTATATGAGGTGTATTAAAAGGACTTGCCTTGTACATTGAGCTCTCGCAGGATCTAAAGTTGGGTTGATTTGTGCAATACCCTTATATTTGTAGCGAGGTTATTTCTGGTAGGATCTCCAAAATATACTGGAGGTAATTTATCCATTTGGTTATATCCACATGAGGGTTTAATTCTGATGTCTACAAGATCTAGCCTTGTTACATTTGTTTATTTCTTTTATCCTTCTAATTTTCTTGCCTAGTTCTATCTTGCAAGTTTATCGATGCATTTTTCATCCTTTATTATATAAACTATCAATGTTTGTTTTTCAATATGATAGCTTTAAAAGGACACTCTATATAATCATATCTAAGTTATCCTTAGTTTTAACACACAACCATCTAAACTTTATTTGTTACGATGCTCAACTTAGTTATTAACATTAGGACTTACGTTGCATAATGCTCTAATTGCAATTTTATTTTTAGGTTTATTATGCTATCTTATCTTGTGGTACTCCTAAGACACTTTTTAATTTTAATCATTTAACTTTAGCTTATTTAAACCATCAATCTTTTGAATAAAATTTATTTTTATCTTATTCTATAGTACTCCCAAGGCGTTTCTAAGTTTAACTGCTATTCAGCTTTAACTCATCTACAGTCTCAATCTTTTGAATAAAATTAAATTTTTCGAACATAAGTATCACTTATGAAAATTTAAGGAGTATCATTCTTTTCATGTTGAATGACTTATGCTAAGTTTGTTATAAAACCTTTCCAAATGCTAATAATCATGTAGCCATCCATTTCAATTGATCTATTACAATATTGAAGTACGAAGTAACTTATGTAGTGTTACCGGCTCTATCAATCCGTATAACTACGATAGTAAATGACCACACAATGATTTATTATAAATGCCTCCGTTTTTACTTTTATAATGGCAAACTAAATTAATTTTTAATTATGCTTTTAATCATCTGGAATTGCAAAATTTGTAGAGTAGACAACATTGCAACCATATACATTTTTTTCATGGGATTCAAATTTTAAACTGCCTTGTTCATGAAATTGACACGCAAGCAGTAAACTGGGGTTATTATTAAGAAATCCTTGACCTTCTCCAGGAGTCTGTTTTCTGGTGTGTAAGATCTAATTAATTTTTCTTTTTTTTTCTTAACCTTTTGATCTCAAAGCGGTACAATCACAGCGTGTAGACATTTTTCTGTTGAATATGTAAGCGGATGGATATTTCGGAACTCGGCTTGTAATTTTAAATCTTTGGTTATTAATTGATTATAATTATTTAAAACAAATGTCAGTAATGCTACAAAACCAGAACAACTATGTTACTTACCATCCATCATAAAAAAATATTATACCATACAAATATTTAAAAAAAGATTACATTTAAGCTTGCTTTTGCTATACACCCATTTTGTGCCACAAAATTTGTCAATCAGTCAGGTATGAATATTTAACTTTCTGCAATATGCAAACAGATCCTCGTCTAACAGATTATGATACTTTGCTTGAAAACATTCATGGCCTGAAAGAAGGAAAGTCGGTCCAAGTCCCAATTTATGATTTCAAGTCAAGCTGCCGGATAGGATATCGGTATGGGGCATCCTACCTCTTCCTATAATGTTTTTCAGTTGCCTACTATCGCTTTCAATTTTATATCATCTGTGCCAGTGAAGTTTTATACAAATTTTCATGAATGCCTTAAGGAAGATTTACATACATATCTTACATCTAAACTTCAATTTCTACATTTATGCCACCCTACCTATGCATGAAAAGGTGAATAATTTGTGCTATCCGTGCATGGTGGCAGGACTGTGGAAGTTCCGAGCTCTAGGATTCTAATAATCGAAGGAATCTACGCTTTGAGTGAAAAATTGAGGCCTGTATTAGACCTTCGTGTTTCTGTAACAGGAGGTGTACACTTTGACCTCGTGAAGAGGGTCTTAAGGGACATACAACGTGTTGGACACGAACCAGAAGAAATAATCCATCAAATATCAGAAACGGTTTTCTTCTAATTACTTTTATTTCCCAAAAATTTTTAAATAATTCTGTTTTTTCAGTTAGATGCTTAGTAATGATTTTGTTCTTGTGCATCTCATTTATTTAGCTTTTTCTTTGGCAGGTTTATCCTATGTATAAGGCATTTATTGAACCAGACCTACGAACTGCGCATATAAAAATCATCAACAAATTCAATCCATTCTCAGGTTTCCAGAATCCAACTTACATTTTAAAGGTTAATGCACTACCCGTATTTTTAAAATGGAAGAGTTATATACATACCACTCAATTCTTGTGAATTTACATACATAGCACCCAATCTTCAATTTTTACATATATGTCACCTTATGTATGAAAATGTCTATTTCACTTTTGAAAAGTTAAAAATAATGGTATTTTTTGTATGATTTGAAAGATTTGGGTGGTATAAATATAGAAGTCAAAGTTTAAGTGCTAGATATGTAAAAACATAAGAATTGGTGGTATGTATGTAAATGCCCCTTTTATCTAAAAGAAATATAGGAAGATAAATGCACCTTACTAATGTATATTGATGTCTGCTTTTTGGAGTTAAGTTGCTTCTGTTATTGCAGTCACCAAGGACCGCCTCAGTGGATCAAATTAAGGCTGTTATTTCTGCAGAACACAGGGAAAATAGTGAGGAAACTTACGATATATATCTCCTACCACCTGGTGAAGATCCAGATGCATGCCAGTCCTATTTGAGAATGCGAAACAGAGATGGAAAGTACAATCTCATGTTTGAGGTATGTTCAGTATTTGTCTCTGCATCATGATCATTTGCATGAATATATGCCCATCTAAATTGGTGTGTGGTTTTTTTTCCTATTTTTTTATTTTATTTTATTTGTAACAGATACAAAGTTATATAATACTTATTAAGGAAAGTGTCGAAATAGTTCCCTGACTTTTTGCAAGTGGTCATTTTAGTCCCATAATCTATGAAAGTGCAAATTTAGTCCCTAGATTCATTTAATATGTGTTGAAATAGTCCCCACGACGGATTATTTTAACCCCAACTTGAAGAGTATGGAGATTAATTTGACACTTTTACAGACTCTCAAACTAAGACGGATAAATAGTTTTAAGAGACTATTTTGACACTTCAATACTATTCAATCACGTTCATCATTCCTACGACTGCATAATATTAATGGAAGTTTAACTTAGAATCACAATAATGCAACATAAACGTGCTTTATACATACGTGTATTTTCTCTCCCTATCTTCAGGTCGTTGTGACTAAGTTATCTAATGTCGCCTTTTTCAGCTCGTCATTCACAAACAAAAAACTATTTGATTTCACACTATTCTTGTGATTAGGGATGATTGGTGTGGCGTGCCCTTTATGTTGTCTTTTTCTATGAGTCTTTTGGACTGTTCTCTGGTTCAAATCATAAATATGAGAATGACATGAATGCTTCAAGTTTCTTAATGAGCCCATGAAAATGTTTGCAAAGGTTGTAGCATTTGTCTTTGGCGCACGTTACTGGTTTCTTGTTATTGAGTATAAGAAATATTTTAAGCAGGGGCCTTTTTCATATTTTCATGAGGTACATTCTTCAACTTGATTGTTTTTCTTGTACATATTTAAGGCTTGGTTACCAACCTTGTGGTTTTTGGAATGTGGTACTACAAAGTCCTAAATTTGATGAAGCTATATGTCTGAAATTTTAATCAATATCCCAAATTGGTTGAGTTTTTAGGGAGATAATGTTAAGCAATCCAAAAGGTCAATCCATCGAATTGATTGAGTTGTTGAAGAGGTTAGCTCGGAGAAGTTGACAAAAGGGGATTGAAGATGAGGACTTCTTACGTAAATCGAGTTCACAAAGAGGGAGGTCGAGTTATAATTTTTTGTGGATTGCAAGCTAACTTGGCAGAGGGGCATCAGTATCGATTGACCTGAGAGTGATGGGCAATAGCTTTAGAGACGACAATTTGAATAAAGCTTTAGACAACAACGACAATGTTTTTTTTACTAAGTGGGTCAACTACATGAATCCATTTTCTCTATTATGTCTTATTGAGTGCCATACTTTTATTTAATTCTAATAAATTAAGGTCATTTTTCATACAACATATGACCAAATCTTTTTTGGTCTACCTCTACCTTTCTTAGGATAAGTCAAATCTAAAGCATCTCTCTTGATAGGGTCATCATATGGTCGATGTTTAATGTGACCAAGTCATCTAAGACAACTCTCTTTAATCTCGTGTGCTATTGGAGCTACTCCAAATTTTTCACTTATATATTTGTTTAGCGTTTTGTCTTCAAATGTAAAACCACTCATCTACTTAAGCATTCCATCTTAGCAACACTTAATCTTTTACTTCACTCCAACATTGTGCTCCATAAAGTATTGTGGTCTTAGCATCATCTTATAAAATTTTCCTTTTATAGACCAATATCGTGCTCCATAATTATTGCAGTCTCACCGTCGTCTTATAAATTTTTTTTTTAACACTACTTTTCTTTCACACAATAGACATGATGCATTCCTCCACTTCAATCGTCCAACTTGAATTCTACTAATAATATCTCCATCTATATAGCCACCACTTTGAACAATAGACCTGAGATATTTGAAACTTTCACTCGTTTTAATAACTTGTTCACCCATTTTTACAACCTTGCCATTTTATCTACCATCATTGAAAGTACATTATGTATTCAATTTTATATCTACTCAAACGAAAGACTTTAAACTCTATAGTTGACCTTCATAATATAAGTTTTTCCTGAACTCTCCGTCACACCTCGGGTCTGGAAGGCGGTACACCGGAGCAACACAAGTCATGATAAAAATAATTAAATATTTTTTATATTCTTAAAAGGAAAAGAATATGCAAGTAATATTAGAAATAAATAAGAAAAATTCAAAATTTTAGTTCATAAACAAGGATACAACCGATGCAACTGAAAGAGAATGAAATAATTGAAAGAAACTAAAATGAAAATGAGGAAACAATTACCCGATCCCGAAAAAAAATATAATAACTCATACGAAACTGAAATATACCAAAAGAAAAACTAAATTCGGAAAATATGCTCTGGTGTAGATGGCCTGGTAAGTGGTTGGATGAAACCTATTATATAAAAATATTAGCGGGTGAGTTTAAAAATCAAACTCAGTAAATAACCACTATTCATTAAAACATAAACGGTAACGAAAATGAGGCATGCAGTATGACCAATAAATATGATTATTGTATTATGTGTATAAAATAATTTGAAAGGACTATCATATGCTAATTATCATGGATAAGAGTTACTTGAGCATATGCAATTTTCAATAGATATTTACATGTGACAATGTCAAGTGTTTTGGTACATATATAAATAATCAATCATCTCACACTACCTGATAATATATAATTTCATTATAACATATATATACATTTAAGTATATTTATATCTAGTCGGTTTACTGCGACGCCCTGAAACAAGGAAAGTTAGACCCTACTTTTACGGAAATCCACTTATTTTTCTGAAGAACCCGTCAATCCGACTAGCATAACAAAGAAGTTTAATACCAATTGTCGACATAATAATATTATAATATTAGTTATAGTTCATGCATTATAATCAAAACACAAGAATACAACTACAAAATGTTCACCAATATTTATAAACAGTTATGCAACTCAAATAATGAGATTTGTCACATCAAAGATTTAAAAAACATAATAAAAATTGAATTCATGAAGTGTGAACTATTAACAAAAAAGTTTATTACCGATTACCGACATAATAATATCATAATATTAATTATAATTCATGCATTATAATCAAAATACAAGAATATAACTACAAAATGTCTACCAATATTTAGAAAGAGTTATGCAGCTGAAATAAGAGATTTGTCATATCAGAGATTTAAAAAACATAATAAAAATTGAATTCATGAAGTGTGAACTATTAAGCACAAGGCTAAGCTGCAATAAAAAAAGTTAATTATACACTAAAGTCAAAATGAGCAAAGATAGAAGCTACTGCATTATATGAACATAATTTTATTAGGATAACACCCCTAACTAGGAAGGGTACATTTATCCCATAATAAAGAGCAGTTAGTTACTTACCTCAAGGCGGCAAATTTGATACTGCTACAAATTTGATAGTTCAATCATCGATCCTACATCATTTATAAGGTAAGATTAATTACACAATTTTTACTTAGATATAATCTAATTGACGTTCATTATTATAATTATTATTGCTGTTATTATTGTTCTTACTTTATTATTATTATAATTTTTAAAAGAAAGAATTTATGAACGTTAACTTACTAACATACTTAAAATAATAATATTTTTTTTATTTTAGTTTGATAAAGAGGAAAAAATTAATTCTTTTATTAGATACAATTAATTAACAATAAAAGAAAATTTTTTAATTCATAAAACCTATTTACCTCTCTTTGCTTTAAATCTCTGTTGGGAGACGGGTTACGAGATTCAGAGGAGCCGAAGTGTGTGGGAACAAAAAATGTTACATTCCTCGATGGTTTTGGGTCTCTGTATATCACGATCCCGTCGTTGCCTTCCTAGTTAGCTATATCTGTGATTGCAGCTCGGGGGACTTCGATCATGAAGGCGATTGTTTCGGGCAAAACCGAAAGAGGATGGAGAAGGGAGATCATAAGGAGGTAAGGGAGAGGAGAGAGGTGATTGAGCGACACCCTAACCTGTTCTTATATAGAGTGGAGAGGTGGTAGTCCATCAATAATTTGGGAATATGGCAACAACTAATTAGGAGAAAAAGCAATTAGTCACGAACTTAAATTTGGGAAAGCTGTGTAAAGAGAAAGAAATCGTGTAGAAAGAAAAAAAATAAGAAGTAAAACTTCAGATCTTACACTCTCTTTAGTCTTATCCACAAGATCATCAACGAAAAATATACACCAATGTGCATCCTCCTATAAATGTCCATACAATAACAACAACAACAAATCTTTATCCTGCTAAGTGGGGCCGGCTATATGAATCCTTTTTCTCCGTTGCATCTTATTGAGGTCATTTTTTTCATTTAATTCTAATAAATTAAAATCATTTTTTATACAATATGCCCAAGTATTTCTAAGCCTACCTCTGTCTTTCTTAACGAAAGTCGAATCTAAAACATCTACTCTCTTAATTGGAACATCAGATGGTCGACGTTTAATATGACTGAACCATCTAAGACGACTCTCTTTAATTTTGTTCGCCACTGGAGCTACACCAACCCTATTGCTTCCTTTCGCATTTTGTCTCTGAGTGAAAGCCACTCATCCACCTAATCATTCTCATCTCGGCAACACTTAACTTATTATTATGCTTCTCTTTTAAAGGCCAACATTCAGCGCCATAGAGCATTGCAGGTCTCACCACCATCTTATAAAATTTTCCTTTCACTATAAGTGATACTTTTCTATCTCACAATAGGCCCGAAGCATTCATCGACTTCAACCAATTGACTTGAATTCTACTAATAACATCCCCATCTATATCACCATCACTTTGTAGAATAGTCCTGAGATATCTAAAACGTTCACACCTTTTAATAATTTGATCACCCATAGTTACAACTCTGTCACTAGAGCTACTACTACTAAAATTACATTCAATGTATTCAGTTTTAGTTCTACTCAAATGAAGGCTTTTAGACTCTAATGTAGACCTCCATAATTAATTTTTTTTTAAGCTTTTTCTCTAGTCTTATCCACAAAAAGGATATCATCAACGAAAAGCATACATTAAGTT